CTATACAATACAACGAAAATAAAAAAAAGCACAATTTTCTTTCGTCTACATATATATATATATATATACAAAAGTTTAATCAGTTTTAAGACGTTTTGTATTATTTTCATTGATATTATCATCATCATCATTAGTTGAAATTGATCGTTTAGTTGTTTTAAACATTTCTTCAAGATAAACTAAACGTTTACTTTGTTCTTTTAATTTATTTTCAAGATTTAACCATTCTTTTTTTGAACGTGTAATCATTTCTTGATCTTGTTTATCATTACTATCATCATCATCATCATTATCATCAAATTTAAGACCTTTATTTTTATCTTTAACTAATAAATTATCAATAGTTGTTGGTGAAATAGGTTCTTCTGATTCAATTAATTCACGAGTATCAAGTATTTCTTCTTCAGTTTCAGTTTTAGTTGTATGTGAATATGTTGCTAAATGTATTGAACTTGTACGATAACATTTATTACCAAAAATACAAGGTGGTTTTGTTTTTGATTCATTTTCTTTTGGTTTTGTTGATGATGGATGTTGAAATTGTTTTAAATGATCAGGATTTGTTCGATAACAATTTGCACCATATTGACACATTTTACGTGTATCAGTAGTTTTTGATGATGATGCTGTTGTTGTTGTTGTTACTTCATCATCTTCATCATCAGATGTAACAATTTTTTTTCCAGTAGTTACATCACGTGATGGTATAACAGAAAATAATATTGAATGTTGTTTAGATAATTTAGTTGATGGTATTATTTTTTGTGTTACACTTATAGGTTTTTTTGTTTTAGCTGCTTCGAGTACATCATTCCATGTTAAATCAGTACGAACTCGAAGAAAAACAGGAAATCTTGGACTACCACTATTAGATAATTCTTGAAATTTAAATGTTATAACAGAACCTTTTTTAGGTGGTTTTCGACGTTGATCCATATTAAGTCCACTACCAACATCAAATCGTTTACCATTAGGTAATTCACATTCAAGTGCACCAACCATTCCTACTAAACTTTTACTAGGTTTATGACCAATAATAAGTGCTTCTAAAAATATGAAAGAATTGTTTTGTTTTTTTTTTATCAAAAGAATCATTGTTATATTAACCTTCATCATAAAAAGTTTTTACTTTAAGTAATGTTGTTGAACGTTTATGTTCATAAAGACTACCTGGTTTACGAAGCATAATACCTTCTCCACCAGTTTTATTTACATCAGCTAAAAATTGTTTGAGTTGTGCTAAACCTTCACATTTTTTAATACCAACTACAGTAGCAAAACATTTATCATCATCTTGAGGAATATTAGCTTGTAACCATTTAACACGATCTTCATATTTTCCACCATGACTTGGTGCATCAAAAATTAAATAAGTCAAAAGTTTATAATCATCCGGAACAACTTTATTTGCTTGTTTTTTAACAATACTAACACATTTTTGAAATAAACCACGACCACACCTATAAGAAAGAAAAGCAATAATAATCTACTAAAACAAAATACAAAAAAAATAAATTTTTTACCAAATTTCTCCATCAAGTGGTACTTTTGGTAGAGCAGCCTTGAAAAAATCCGGTACATGAAAAAGATTTCCTTGACGTGAATAAAAATTCTTTCCATTCCAATATGCTCTAAAATATATTAATAAAAAAAAAAATCCTAATTTTTTTTCTCTATCATATAAATTCTCATACCGAACACCATCAAGTTTTTCACTCATCCACCATCCAGTTGGATCAACATCTTCTGTCCATGTTTCAGCAAGAAGTACTTTTGCAGCGTCACTACACATGATTAATAAATATGTTCAAGAAATCTTTTTTTTTAATGATAAAAACTATTGTAAACTTCTGTATATATATACCTGTTTTTTTGCTTATTATAGGTATTCTTACATATTGGTTGTGCAAGTACAACCACAAACAACAGAACAGAACAGAACAAACGCCTACTATCAACATGAAAAGAACCAAAAAAAGAAAAGGCCATGCGACTAAAAATTTTTTACAGAAGAAAAAAAAAATGAAAGGAAATTTTTTTTTTTTAATGTTTATCAAACGATAAAAATCGAGTATATAATTTTGTTAGTTTCATTTTCAATGTACTCCTATGATCAAGTTAATCGTCCTTTATTCAATATTAACCAAATAAATCATGATAGAAAACAATCGTCTACTGAACAATATACAAAAAGACAAAGTAAATCGTTCAATGACCTTGTCATTTTGAATTGACTGACACCCATATCTATATGCTTTGATAAACTAAAATTTCATATGAATGTCTTTTTTTTTTTTTTTTTCATGTATTCTCTATCAACATAGAAAGAAAGATAGGAGAATTATACTTAATAATCATTATATTAATATGACATCGAATAACGATTGGTATCCTACAGTAGGTATGAGAAATATTTTCTTCATAACAAAAAAAAAAATTTTTTTATTCTTAATTTTGAATAAAATCAATAAATAATAATTTTCTTTTTTTTTGTTTACTGAATAAATCGATTGTTTTATATTAACTTTTAGTTTGTAAGTTGTAGTATATGTTGAAATAAGATAATTTTCTTTAAGAATATAATAAATGAATTGAAATTTTGTTTATTTTGAGAAAATAAATACAGTATTCATTATTATTTTATATTATTCAATACTCTATTTTATGAAAGTTATATTATTTTAATCAGTATCTAATATGTACATTAGTTTTTATTGATTGTGTTCTATTAAACATAAAATCGAAAAACGATTCAAGAATATTCAAATTTTATCAAGGTGATTTATGTAAATCGAATAGTAATATTTAAGAAAAAAACATATACTTGAATACCATATAATCTTTCAGATGAATAAATTTCATATATATATATATCATTAAACATTTTTTATAATTTCTATTTTTTCAACATATTTAAATAAACCTAAAGCTATTGGTTTCATATAGACCCATCAATGAAATAAATAAGTTATATCATGCTATACAAACGTGTCAGAACAAAAAATAATCAATTGTAAATTCACGAAATCAATGAGAGAAAGGTTATAGAAAAGCGATTTTTGGAACGGGTTTTATGTAGTATAACCTGTTGCATTTCATGTCTACTGAAAAGAAATGAAGAAGAAAAAAAAACAACATTTCCCTAGGGGGGTAGCAACCGTTGCTCTCTCTTCCCTAAATCCACTATTGAAGAAAATAATTAAAAAGTAATTTTTTACTGTTGTTGCACTCACAGCTAAATAGCTCACAAGAAGAATTTATTCAATCTCTTTCAGAAAAAAAACATAGAAATCTATTTATAGAACAAACATTATTATCGAATGTATTTATTCGATACTTTTTTAATATGAAAAAAAAAACATTCACAAAATTTGAAAATAATATTATTTAATGGCGAAATAAATAGAAATTTTTATTTAGTTATGATATCAAACTTTCAATTTAGATATATTTTTTTTCGTTGCATGTTTCAAGGAGATAAAAATTCTTTCGTTTTCTGTTTATATTTATAAAAAAAATGCCACTTTCATACAGTTTCAAAAGATGGTAAAAGAAAATCTATACTTAAAGCAAAAAATTAACATATAAATATTACCCACAGAAAAATTTTTCAAGAAAAACCACGGTTTCATAAATCGCGAAAGTCAGACCATTTATGCGGTTTGCAAATCCCGCAGTGAGAACCGAGAAAACCACGGTCGGGGGCTGAGTTTTTGCAGGTCTAACCGCGCTTTCAACCGATTTTTAAAAGACGCATAAATGGTCTGACTTTCGCGGTTTTTCAAAATGCGGAATAAAACTGCGGTTTTTTTTTCGGAAGAATTTTTCCGTGGGTAGCTTGTCAAAAGTTTGAACGATGAAATCTCATTAAATGAATAACTTTCAGAAAATATACTTGCAACCGTTATATAATCTCAAGTAGAATATCTAAAAGAATACATTTTTGCGATTCGAAAAATGGTCTTTAAACATTAAAAAATATGTCCAATTAAGTTGACATTTTTTTTGTTTTCTAAAACAAATATTATTCTATTGATTTCTAATCGCTCTATTTTAGCTATTTTATTTAGAAGATAAAAAGTTATTCATTGTAGAAAGAATCTAGTACATATGAAGCTCTTCAGAAACCGTGAAAAGTGAAATTTTTTTCGGATCTTTATTAGATAGTACTTTTAATAAATCTAACTCTCTCGAAAAACTCGTACTATGAATATTTTATTTCTGTATCTCAGATGAAAATATTCTAACACTGAATTTAGGTAGATTTTACAAAAAAAAATAACGTGTAGTTTAATCGTTTTCAACAAGATAAAAAGAAAAGAAAAATTACGTACTCTAAATAGTATCAAGTATCTCGAAAGAGATTTTAGCTCTATAAGACTTATGGCAGTTGAGAACGTGAAAGTGTTTTTTTTTTTTTAGCTTTTCCAATCGAGATATTCTCTAAAAAGAAATATTTGAGAATTTGGAGTTTATTACAAATTTTGCTCGTCTCATCAAAATCTATCTATTTTGAAAGTTTTAAATATTTCTGATGAATCTCGTTCTCTAGAAATCCAAGAAAAGTACGGAAGATATCCTTAAATCTATTTGTTTCGAGATCGAGTCATAAGAACAGAAATTTTCGAAATCATCATCTAAAATTATCCGATTTCAATCATTAAGTCAAGAAAAGTGAATAAAAAAAAAAAAACGAAATCAAGTTTTAGATAACATACATATAATCATCATAAAATGTCAAACATGAAGGTTATATAAAACGTTATCATTGATAGAATAGAAGAACTAAAACAAGCCTTGATGAATGATGATGACATAAGTTAAACAAACTAAAGATGAAACCTATTGTTTATATGATTTCTCCATCTAATGAAGTCTCTAAATGTGAGTAAAAAATGTAAATTAAATTCGTTTTTTTTAATTTATGAGTTTCATTTATCTTTACTAATCATTTTGAATAAACCAGAATAAAAAGAAAACAAGTAGAAATAGTTTTATTGATGTTTTCCATTGGTTATAATCGTTGTTATTTTGAATCTGATATATTTCTTCCTTCAGCTACAAAAAAACGATATGTTCTTGAAAAAAATTCACCACAAACACAACATACAGGTGAATATAATACATTACAATATACATTTCGACCAATAACACCACCACATATTAATCAACAACATCAAAATGGACATACTAATACATTTAATAAACAATCACGTATATATTATTCTGATACTGAACAAACACCAATTACTTTATCTAAACGAGATAAACGACAACAACAAAATTTATCTTCAATTCAAAGAAATTATGGTAAGCAATGAAAATAAATTATTGTAATACGAATATTGAATAGCACTTTTACTCCCCCCCCC